CCTTGAAACAAACCTCTTCTACAATGAGGCTATTATTATGTTTAAAATATTTCATGATTTAGCACCATCATATCTTAGGAACAGATTTACCTTAAGAAATCCACAATACAATACAAGAACAATGGATGTATTATATATTGAAAAACCTAAAACAGAATATAAAAAAAGAAGTTTAACTTACCATGGTGCTAAGTTATGGAATAATTTAAATGATGAGTATAGAAATTCAGCAAATATTAATAAATTTAAAGAAATCATTAATCTAATCTAACTTCTGATATTAAATTAATTAAATTAAATGTATATGTTTTTGATTTATTTTAAACTAAAGATACTATTTAATTTCACATTTTAATCATATTTATTACTTAAACAAATTCTTTAATGTTTATACTTTTGTTATGTATTTTGTATTTTTATATTTTACCACTTATGGCCTTGCACGTCCTTGATGAAAAACACCATTGGGTGATCAAGTTTTTCCGTGTTTAAATAAAGTAATTATTATTATTATTATTATTGGTTTCCAAAAGTGATAGAGCTAAATATTGACTAATAACAACCATTTTTACAACAAGTATGGTAGAAAGAATAAAGATCAACTTACAGAGAGAAAGAAACCAATTGGTCAAATACTGTACTTTTCGAGTTATTCTGATTAGAATTTGGTAATATGAGCCGCGAAAGGTAAAAAAGTCTGCTTTCTACATTGGAAATCCAATGTAGTTGCCTACTTTTAATCGAAAAGTGACAGGATAAAACATAAATCCATCTCGTTTCATTCATCTCATTAGAAAGATGAAAGATAGATCTTTTATTTTAAAAAAGGAGGAAATTTATCTGATGAGCAGTTCAAAAGTTATGGTAGAAAAGGCTGTAAAAAAGGGTGTTTTCAGGTTTTTTTTAGAGCAGTTTTATCAATTTATGCCAGCACGCTACTAAAGAGCACGTACAAATTCATGTTTCTTTTTTTCTCAATTTTGTTTAAAATTTCGAAAAATTTTGAGGGGGATGGGTCCCCCCTTGAATCCACACTCATTTATGATTCTGGTGGTGGAATGAGTCTTATCGGATAATGACTATAAACCGTATGCCCAGTGTACACAACTAGGCTCAGGCACTTTGAAGAACCCAGTACATCTTTTGAGGCGAGTAGGGAGTTACCCCTGTGTACTTGTTCTGGACAGACAAGAGATAGCTAGTACCAGTTTACTGAGGAGCTCAGACATGAAGAGACCCTTAGGAGAGAAGAGTGTTTCTGACAAGCTTTGAGACTTTGGTATAAAGTGCTATATAAATCAAACTACAATAGGCACACTAAAGAAATATTAGTGTATCACCCTATCTAGGAAAAAAAAATAGTTTATCACCCTATCTAAGTAAAAAATTTCAACAACAAAAAAATTAAAAATTTAATTTTTTTTTTTTATTACCGTAAATGACATCCTTGTGAGGGTGATAAACTAATACATTTTTCAGTTGGGCCTTACATTATATAATACTAAACAATTTTTGACAACCCGCGAAAGGAAGTGAACAAATTATATACCACCGCGCTCAATTGTTTTAACCTTGTTTGTTTATGCATGCACACGCTGCCTTGATTGCTGCAATATCAAGTTGACCCTTTCAGACAGAGCAAGCCAGTAACCGTTGCCGCAGTATTGCCCTCTGTGGTTTAAATTGCCAATATTACTAGGTGCCAAGGTGGTCTAAGGTAATCACCGCGCTCAATTGTTTTAACCTTGTTTGTTTATGCATGCACACGCTGCCTTGATTGCTGCAATATCAAGTTGACCCTTTCAGACAGAGCAAGCCAGTAACCGTTGCCGCAGTATTGCCCTCTGTGGTTTAAATTGCCAATATTACTAGGTGCCAAGGTGGTCTAAGGTAATCCGTTCCAGGATTCCAATACCCCAAAAAGTACCTTAGCCCCACCAAATTTTAACAATAGATGCCTCTAGATACCTGGAAATGGCATTCTCACCCTGTAGAAATATTTTCAAAGCATTGCTTTTTACAGAAAGACATGCCACCGAGTCTGCTCAATGGATCCGCTGCTGGCACTGCCAATAGTTGCATCATATATCAGCCCCTCACCTTATCTTATATATAATCAATCTCCCTCTTCCCATGTCAATAGTTTACTGTTGTTAACAATGTCAGGGTAGGTGGTCGTATTTCTATTAGCAAAATAACTTCTTCTGTAAGTACTGAAAATCGGCCAGAGAAATGATTTATTTTTATCAATGTCATGCAGGCAGGATCAAAATTTTTGGTTGGCCGAAGTTGAAACGCAGGTAGGGGGTGAATACCAGAGGCCTAGGTCTACTTTCTTAATAAAGAGGACACTTCTTGGGCTAAAACGACTTCAGACAGTCGTAACCAGTTGCTTTATCATGCACAAATTGAGACTTTTGCCTAATTTGCAAATTAGATTGTTCAGGGGTAGCTTTAGTTTTAAACAGTTTATTTTTAAACAGTTTGCACTTTTTTTATACTATTTAATATATTGATGAATAGTTGCATGACCAGCTTGGCAGGCTTATCTTGAGAATGTAGAATCTACATATATGGATATGCGTGTGAGATCTGAGGTGGGTGGGTAGGTCAGGGTGGGGATGCGGAGGGAGGACTTTTTTGTGGATCTTATTTTTTAGGGGTCTTATTTTATTTTATTTTTATTTTAATAGTATTATTATGACTTGCATTGAAGTAGGCCTATATTTACCTTCCAGTAAAATGCATATGGGCCTAAGCCTCCATTGCACATTAAAAAAAGTTTAAAATATGTAGTATATGACAGCACTGAATAAATTGACAACTAAAATAATACAGAATATGAAATAAAAATTCAAAGAACAAATGGTCTAAACAAATCATAGGCAGGCACGAATCCAAGAGGTGGGGGGGGGGAGCCCACCCGGCCCGGGCCTCCCCTTTTGGAAAGTCAAAAGAAAAAGAAAGAATTGATCGCCCAAAAGACCTTAGAGTTTATTTTCGGGCGTCTAGAATACAGAATTTCATGAGGGGATGCCCCCACCCCCTAGAGTACTGTTATCTCGATCGGCCCCACTTTTCCCCCCTTTTGAATATCTCTGAATCCACCCCTGATAGGGCTACATCAAAATGTAAGAATTAGGCAATAAGTATTATAAATACAATATACTTTCAATCATCATAAAACTTTGCATGAATAATTGTGCTTGCTTTTTTTGCTTTGGCCTTGTCCTATTTTAATCTAGGCCCTATATAATATTTGTCAACTTATCAATCAATTATTCATTTAATGTTCATTAATTTATTGTTAGCCTGAAAAGGCAGCCCAGCAGCTGGCTACAGCGAGGTCAGGCTTAGGCTAGGCCTAATGAAACTACAATATCAGACATCAGAGAAATTTCAAAGAGTAAGATCAGGTGACACATAATGAGTGCCGAATGCAAGAACAGAGGCTGGGGGCCAGGGGGCTTTGGCTTAAATGGCATATCTAATCAAAATTAGTGAGTTTATGATGATCTCGGATACAGCGGTTATTAAAAGATAGTTTAAGATAACGAAAGGCATCTTTCCTTCTTATTAAAATTCATTACAAGTTGAAAAAGAAATTAAATTTGTTCAAATTTTAGGATAAGACTATTAAAGTTTTGCCGGTGTTTGCGTAAGACCGTAAAATTTGATTGGAGTGCGTAAGACTTACAGCGAATGTGTATGGGTTGACAGGTCTGATATAGGCATAGTAATATTATTATTTATTTAGTAGTGGTATTGTTGTTATTGTTATTTTTTCAATTATATGTAGGCTTACTACCAACTGTGTCCCACACACAAATGCCTATCTTTTATCATTGGCCTAGTCTTCCTTCGTATTGAATCGTTAGGCGTACACAACCATTTCGCAGTAAACTAAAACCCAGTGTTTACATGATGTTGAAGAAAGAAATAAATTCGTAATAGAATTGATTTGAAAACTACCCCAAAAAATTGGTCTCACACATACCACTAAACAGCAATTGCAAATCAGCATTTTTTTTTTTATATCTGAGCACAGATTGTTTTTCTATTGATTATTATATTAAAGACATAATTTTGAGGTTTTGAAACGATAAGCTTGTAGCTGTTTTACTGTTTTTTCGCGAAAAAAAAATGAAAACCTCAAAACTATGGCTATAATATTTATAATGTAATTGTCAAGTGCTGAAAAACAGATAGTTAAAATTATTCTTCTCTTTTGCAGTTTTCTTTGTTCGTTTCCTTGTAGCATTAAGATATTTCATGGTTATGAATAATATACGTAAAGGGTATTGAGGCAAATTTATTGTATTATGCGCTAAATAAGACTTGCATCATTATTATTAATACCATACTCAAGATGAAAAAAGTGTTCATTTATAAAAAATTAAAAAAAAAGCACTAGCCATGGTATTAAGTGGTGGTATGTGCTCGTGTAAATCTTTTTTATCGATTTGTATGTTCAGTGTGATTTAAAATAAAAATATTGATAAGGCATAGGGGGCCAAAAATAAAACCTCGAATAGAAGCCCAGTGGGCTTAATCTTGAGAAGAAGTCTTCTTCAATCAAAGCCCCTCCCTTTAGATTGTAAAAGAAGCCTATCTCAAAAGAAGCCAATGGGCTTCTTTTGCGGATAGCATGGGCCTTTTTTTCGAGAGTACAGTACATACACTTTCCCCCTCCTCTTTGCTTTGCTTAGCTTAGAAAATAAGCCCACACAAAGTTTGAAAGAAAAAGAAGCCCAGGGCTTCAATTTGAGTTTTAACAGTATAACTTTGCTTTTTAAATTTTATTAGGTTTCCCTAGCCATACCCTTCTTTAAAAGTTTTATTGTTTTTAATTTGCCCCTTTTGTGATCGTGTTTGCGTGTTTTTTTAGTAACTTTTTTATGAGAATCTTTTGTAAGTTGACGCAATTCAACGTTTTATGTTGCCATGTCAATTTTTATTGAATAAACCATAATGAATGAATGAATTTGTTTTCTTTACAGAAACTTGGATCCTCTGACAGAAACAGTATCCTTCTGAAAGTAATTTGAAAAACATTTTAAAAAATGATGAAAAAAAGACATTAAATTAAAAATATACTGTATATTAGAATATGTTCCATTTTGTTTCAAATTTAATTACTATTCATTATTTTTGTCAAGCACCATGAGATTTATGTAAAAATAAGGGCCCAACTAAAAAAAATGAGACTTTCACTAAACTAGTTTGAAAAATGTGGGCATCGTATCCTCATATTTTTTTAAGCCAAATTTACAAACTAGAAAATTCTTTATTTCAACTAAATTACAGTACCGATGACATGCTTTGGAATTTTTGACCGGACTTAGCCCACTGGAAAAGTGTTCCATATTTGTCAACTGCCCATCCAGGGTTTTGTAGCCAGAGATTACAAACATAACATGGCATTGTTTTTGCAGGTTCCGCGGGATGTTTTCCCGGCTAAGCATACAGCATTTCTGTTAGACTGCCGGCGGCGTTACATGTCTGTAATGCCCACAGGTTTAATGCTACAGCATGCAAAAATCCAAGTGGGGAACTTTCGGTCGTGGATTAATCAAGCTCAGTTTCTGTGCATCGACGGTTCTCAGTTTTCCAGCCAGCAAAGCATTACTTTAACTTGCCCTTGATTGGTTCTGTACTTTAACATTGATAATATGGAAATGGATGTAGCCTTGTCTGTAGTTCTAAATTTTTCGAAATACATTACAGTAATGACATACTATAAAGAATAGTGATAGGCCTATACTACTCTTTCCAGGAATTGATTTCTAGGCATACTTTTTAGATTCTATAAGCTGTAGGCCTCTATAATTTTTACATCGTTGGTAGTAATGTTCTGTATGTAATAAATTTGTATATATATTGTTACAGTACAGTATATCTTTCCTAAACAAGCTTTTCATAGTATGGAATACCATTCTACTTGCAGTATTTGGCCCATTGGCCAGAGTACTTCAAAGTCTGTGAGGCTCCTTGTGGTAAAATCATGGGGTACAGTAAGTAAATGTTTTCTACATGTACATTTATCAGATCACCTCTATTCTTATATTCTTTTACCTGCTTAGCCTGGGTTCCAGGCCCTAATTTTAGGTTACTCACTCTTTATTGCACTTAGTGCGCGCAATACCTAATTTAATTGGCGTCCCATACTCGATTTCTTTTTTTTCGAATTAGGGTTATTCCGTCTATCTCTAAATTAACTTTCTCGTTGGTGGCGCAGTCCAGAATGAGAAAAATAATAACAAATAAGAGACTCTATAGCTAATAAGATAGAAAGATTTGAATAATTAAAATTAGAATATTCGTTTGTACAAAATTAAAATGTCTCAAAATTGAAAAAAAGAGAGATCATGAATTAAATTAGTATAAAATGTTCAAGTTAAATATGCTATCAGTAAAAGTTGTCAAAATCATCAATGAATTTGGTCAAAAGATAAAAACATAAAAATTACAATAAAAATTTAAATAGAAGAATTGCAACGAACAACTGCTTTTAAAGTGTTAAATTTAAAAGAGTAAAATGCGAGATGAAATATTAAAATAGAATTATAGCTTAGTATAGAATATTTTTAAATTTCTGATAAAAGAATCAATTCCAAAAACAAGTACTTCTTTAACCGACCATGCCATCCATGCAACGTGCCCTGTTAGTGGTAATGGCAGTAATGTACAGTCCTTTGCTGAAACCCCTGTTTTGTTTTGTAGATGTAGTAGCACTCTGGGGTCAAACTTTAAAAAAGGACCATGACCATTTGTTGGAAATAACTTAGTTTATGTGTACAAAATTTCCTGCACGCCCTATCAAAACTTACGACGCTGGACGCTTTTAAAGTTTTTGTAACAACTGAAGTGAGGTTCTGGGGTCCACCTTGCACAGACCCAAAAATAATCCCATCATATACTTTAAGTAATTTTTGTGCTACAGCTGCTTTTCAAAACTAAGTTGGTAAATTTTACACCTTTCAAAAGAAAGTGAAATGGAAGAGTCAGTATCACGTAGCAGTTTAGCTGGTAGCATACAAATATTGACTGCTCATGAGGGGAAATGTGGAGACCGTAGCGTACTATCTCCCTGAAAGGGAAGATAGTCGCAAAGTGCCAATCTGTCTCGTTGTAGAGGTCGCAGTCATCTTTACCGTCTGTTCTACGCATCATGAATTACCCAGCAACGATTACATCTCGACAGGGAAAAAAGGTACTATCATTTGACGAGATAGTACTTTCTTCCCCGGGATTTTGTAACCTATCATTCAACCTACATCATAGGAGAGATGGTTGAAATTATTACCCGCTTTTTAACCAATCAGATGCCTGGAATCTATCACTGGAATCACCATTCCCCTCATGAGCAGTCAATATTTGTATATTATTTCTGAATTGTGATAATAATGATAATAACAATAATAATAATAATAATAATTACCTGATCATAAATTATACAGTAATGGGTAAAGCAGAAGGCTCTGTATCCCAGGAAACTTGGCATGGTCACGTGACGGCCTTGACAGTGGCTCCTGAGTACCGTCGTTTAGGCTTGGCAGCAACATTAATGAATATTTTAGAAGAGGTGTCAGAACAGTAAGTGTAAATTTAAATTATATCAAAAAGTAAACCATTCATAATGGACTGTTCCAATGAGTCCCGCCCCTTGGATACTGTTGCTAAGGTCCCACAGCACAATAGCGTGAATGTATGTAAACATGTGCATTTGTGCGACAATAAATGTTTTTGTAGGAGATGTGCATATTCCTAGCCGTGTTCTGATTGGTCAGTTGTTAAGTTTGATTGACACAAGTCCATCGACTGTCCTGCCACTTGGAATTGATATTGTTGCTGAGGTCAAAACAACAGATATTCGTAGAAAAAACTTGGCCGAGTGGGTGGTCATATCAACATAAATTTGTGTGTATATGCTTTTCCCCACTTCCGATTGGTTATTTTGTAAGGTTGTCTGATGAAAAACTGGGGAACGGTGAATGAGATACATACAGATTTTTAAATATTTAAAAACTGGGGTAAAAAGGGGCGCAACCGCCCTTTTTTACACCTACTTTTTTCTGTCTTAGAAAAATCAGTGCTAGAACATATAAAAATTGTTTTCCCTCCGGAACCTGACTTTAAGACATGTACATGTATGAAGCTCTGAGATTATCACATTTTCTTTGACAAAAAAACTAGTGTACACCTATATAGAGTATGCAAGTATACTCTATGTGAGTGTTGTGCAAGTATATATATATTATATATATTATGTACCTATATATGGTCATGATGTGATGTCATCATGACCATATTTGGGAATGTCGTATGTTTTTGTCAAATAAAATTTGATAGTGTGGACAGGGCTTTATACACTTTACCCCAATCAGGCTCGGCATTTTATTTTATTTACCGGTATTTTTTTTTTGTTTTTTGACTACTACAAAAATTATGTTTTTAATGAGCTAAAAAGGCTGGAATAGGCATACCTTGCTGGACGGTAGGCAATGCGACAATGCTATGCTATTATTTAGATCTTCAATGTAGAATTTAAAATTGTTGTATTTTTGTGTATTTTCTACTTTTTTTTTTCTACTTTTTAGGCTTACCATAATTGTTTATTCATACCTGTTGCAATGTTATCTTGTATAGGAAAAAAGCATTTTTTGTTGACCTATTCGTTCGAGTCTCCAACAAAGTGGCAACATCAATGTATGAACGTCTAGGGTATGTAATCTATCGACGAGTACTTGAGTATTACTCAGGCGATCCGGATGAAGATGCTTTTGGTAAGTGTCCACGCTTTACAAACTATGGGTCACGACCCAAAAGTGGCCGCCAACTTTTGGGTTGGGTCGTGAGCAAGTTTGCTAAAAATTTTAAGCAACACAAATTGTCAATTCAAATGCTAATTATACGGTTGATTGTAAAGTCTTTAACAGGTCTATTTGTGTAACTATGTTGTAGTAAGGTATTTACACAAATATGTTGTTGTAAGATATAACATATTTGTGTAAATGTAAACATTAAAAACTATAGGCCTATAAGGTTGGTTGGTTGATATAATGGTAACAAGAAGGCTAAAATTAAGGTTTAACTTTATCAAATATATTATTTAAGGATAGAAAATATTCTGCAAAAAAAGCTGATCCTATATTTTGGGTCAGTCAAATATTAAAAAGCCTCATTTCCCACTTAGCTGAAAAGGGACGATAATCAATGACTGATCCAAATGGGTGGGGAATAGCTGGCCTGCCCCTCCCCCAGCTCCTAAATTTAAAAAAAAAAAAAAAAAATTGAGGAAAAAAAAGAAAATTTTATTCAAATTTAAATCTGAGTGTTCTATTTCCGGCCATCTAGAGGTGCCATAATCCTAAAATTTCTTATGGCAGCTCCAAACCATGGTGGGGCTGAGGTGGGTACATCCTCTATCTGTAATATCCCCTCCCTGGGCCCCTTTATTATGAATTCTTGGAACGGTCGCTGATAAAATCTAAGCAAAAATCGATGTCATATTATGTAGAATATGCATTCTTAATCCATGTTGAGTATGCATTCTTTATATCTTAATAAATTTGGTGTACATATTTACTATCAAATTATTGTATGGGTCGTGGCTAGTCAAAACTTTGGTTGAAGAGAAAAAAGTTCCGGAAAAGTCTAGGTCACTTGAACATACTGTAATTAGTTTATTCTCTTCCATACAGGCTTAATTAGGGTTTTTTAGTACCTGGGGCAAGAATAGAAATGGCGCCCCTTTCCAGCTCAGTGGTTTTTTGTTCTGAACTAGAATTTGGAAGCCCTATGTAATTTTTATTCAGGATTATTCCCCCCCCCCCCTTTTCCTACACATCAGCACCTCGGACAGGGACCTGTTCTCCGCTGTTCCCTTTTAGTTACGCCTCTTTTCTTACATCATTAGGCCTACCAATGATTAAAATACTACATGACAATGTTCTCACAAACCATGCCTTTGATCAATTCTTCTTAGATATGCGGAAAGCATGTTCAAGAGATAAGGAAAAGAAGTCGATGCAGCCCATTAAGGATCCTGTAAGGCCTGAAGATGTAGAATGACATTAGGCCCACCTGCATTCACTAGATCCAACTGGATGCGGCACTTACAAACACTCAATTATGGAATGTCCATTTCAACACTGATATGGAATTATTTTAAACCTTCATAATAAAAGATATTTGTATTTTATTACCAGTGTGTCAATGGCCGAAAGGTCCACTGATTAATCTCAGATAAGAAAGTATAATACATACTCCAAGTATTAAAATACACGCCAAGTATTGAAATACAATTCAATAGAATATCTAGGAATGCTGACACGGGTGGCCTTTTAGAGGGGGTGGGGGTGCGGGTGCAAATGAGAGGCTCAGTGAGGGGATCCTAGCAAAATAGTGTGATTTTATAAAGTTATTTTGGACTAATTTAGTTTTTGCTTTAAAGCAAATTGAAATTCCCAGTATTGCAGTTGAATTGTGAATCTATTTTTGGGGGATCGTGCACCCGTCCGTAGTCACACCACTGCTGTGTGTGCTATTTTCACTAATTCAGGAATGATGGCTGTACACAGACATGCTAAGTCTTATCTGATGCGGCTTGGCTTTGGAGGCAGTTTCAATGAGAGGATCCTTTTTTGTTCTGCCTTCATCTGAATCTTTAACTTCTTTGCTAGACAACAGGTGCTAATTTGTTTATATGAGAATTGGTCCGAGATACCACCCAGTACTTTTAATTATTATACTGTATATAGGCTTATTCATTGTGTTTGTTGGAAATTCTAGTTTGTACTCTCATGTCTGGACCTGGGTTGCCAAATAGGCAGCAGGCTTCACGGCCAAACTTAGGCAAAATTCTAATTGTATTGCCAGATAATATTTGACTTAAAACAAGTCAATATCACACTGACGTAATTCAGTGCGCAATTTTCAACAACTGCTTTTAAAACAGATTAAATGAGTAATCTTGACGCTGTGGATATTTACTTATTGTTATTGGCAATAAATTTTCACAAATTCGGCCATGGCATTTTATTTTATTTTATATTTTTATTTTTTTATATTTTATGATAAGTCCTCTATGCACTTCACATTATCATTACCCTAGTGATGGGATTAAACGCCTACAGAGTATTCTATAACTTTGCTGTAGATAATCAGCACATTTTAACCCTAAAAGGTACCCGCTTGTACTCCTGGGTGGAGAGAAGAAATACAAATAAAATGCCTTGCTCAAGACCAAGACGTTGAGGTTGGGAAACCAAACCGTTCCACGGTCTAGACATATTCATGGCCCATGTTTCTAAATTTAATAGTTAATATTGTAATAATCATTCAAAAATAAATAACTTCAGTAATAAGGCAGAAGGTTGATGAAAACATTTTTTATTACCATTATGAAATAGTAAAAGGTCTAGATTGGGATGTTTGGGGAAAATGCTGCTAGCTATGTAAATGCAGATGAAAGATTAAACAAAAATATTGTACTGTCATTATTATTTGTGAGCAGTTTCTTGAGATGAAAGTGTGGAGTGCTATAGAAAAATATTATGTACTTAAAACTGACTTTATTAATGTATTTACACCATAATTGTTTTCCTCAATTTATATTTTCTAAAAAAAAATTGTCATATTGTACAATATAAACATTATTCTGCTGTCTCATCACATAGTTGTTTTGCTATTACTGCCTTTAACTTTTACTTCAAATTCACATACCACATTTATTCGAATAAATGCTCTTAGTAGAGCCTCATTTAGAATAAATCCCCCCACCCAAATGACTATAATCAACATCATTCTCAACACATTCTATTATAGTTCTGCTCTCAGTAGAAATTACATTTTTTCTAACCTAGTTGGGATCAAAAAGTGATTATAATTCCACATTTACAGTGAAATTAAGGGGCATTTATTATACTACTTCTACACAAACACCGGTGCGACACCGGAGCCAAAACCCATTTACACTTGACAATGAACACCAGTGTTGAACACTGCCCTCCATGGACATACAATCAAGTTTAGTTTCCCAGGGGGAAAACATTTCAATTTATGTGTATTAAATTCTAAACAATAAAATATAACTTATTATTTTTAACTATGTTCAAAATATTCTAGTTATATTATTACTCAAAAAAACTGGTGTGTAAAAGGCGGGACTGATTACACTGTGTGTTTCGATGTCAACGCTAGAAGATTCTCCTGAAAACATTCAAACTCCAGTGTTTGAAACCCATTGTATCAACAACGGGAAGTAAAAAGCGGGTTTATTCCCAAGTCTGGCTGATAGAGTAAAAGGGGTATTTGAGTAGTGTACTGTATACAGGTATCCATTTTACACCCAAAAAAATTAACGCCTCCCTCGAATAAGCACCCCCTCAAAAACCGTTCTCAACAATAAACACCTTGGGGCATTTATTCAAATAAATACGGTATTAAATATTCCAGTTTTTAAAATTATTTTATCCATAAATTTGATGGCATAATCAACTGTCGTCATCATCGTTGTCATCCTTGGGTTTTTCGGTTTGGCCCTTCTTCCATTTCTTTGCCAGTGCCAATAGTTTGAGACTTGGCTGATTGGCTTCATCCGTGGGGAAGATATAATCATAATATTCTTCCCAACCGGCATCAGACTGAAAAATAAAATTATGTCGAGACTAAACTACTTTGTGGATGTAAAATTGAATTAATATAGGTAACCGTAAATAATTTACAGAGTGCCATGTCACTTAACATTTTTGGAGGCTTCAGTGCATTGCTTCCAGGCACAGTGTATATAACAACCAAAGTGGACTGGTTTTTTTTACATTTAACCACCCACCATTTTTGGAAGTTTGCAAAAAATTATTACAAATAAGTAGAATGTTATTCCCCATGTTTTTGTTGTAAACAGTTTCATTTAGTTTGTTAAACTCTGTGGTTTAATAGATTTCACTAATACATAATATCAGGTTGATTTGGGTATTATGTACACTTAAATAAGCACCACAGCAGTAGTGGTTATTCAGATTTTGGTCTTACCCCATCTTCAGTCTGAATTTTCCTTCTCTTCTTCACTCTCTTTGGCATTTCTTTCCTAATCTTCTCCTGGCTCTCTTCATCTCCATACTCGGCCTAAAATGGCAATACAGTGTTAATAAACAATGAATGACTAACAAAAACATCTTCAAAAACCTTATCTTTAACTTAAAGTCCTTATACAAAGTATAAAATTTGTTTTCTTTGTGTTCCTCTTCTATAAAATAATTTAAATGTTATACATAGATTTTATTTATTGAAGTTAATTTCAAACAATGTCAAACTTAAAAATCCCTCCAAGATTCTAGTAACGTTAATCGCCCCTCTATTTTATTTATTGAGCTTTCCTTGATGTTAATTTCAAGCAATGACAAACCTCAAAGTCCCTCCAAGATTCCAGTAACATCAACCGCTCCTCTTTCTCCTCTGAATGCCTCAGGGACTTGTTGGCTCTCTCGTAAATCTTTCTACATTCTACCACTGCTGCTTCACCTCCAAGTGACAACTCAAATTGTGAATAACTGATCCAAACCTTTAAAGAAAAAAATTCAATCATCAAACTTCTGGTGGTTCATTCATACATGGTATAAAACGATAAACGATGAAAAAATTAATGACCTTTAACCTTGCCATGAACTTTAGCTTACTTTAACATGCTGTGTCCTTTCAAGTAACCTGCCATATAATTCCCTCGTTCTGTTGTACTCCTCCTGTTCAATCTCAAAGTCTATGTACGCTTTCCACAACATCTCGGGCATGTCAAGCTTAGCCTGGTTCGTAGCAAGTTCATAGAGGGCGCGAGCACGAACCTCATCCCCCAAAATACTCTCCAGTTCGGCATACTTTGAAAATAAAGAAGTATAATTTAAATGATCTCTGGGTTGAAGGAATCTAGCTTAATGGTTGCCTTTAATCCCATAATCTAGGATTCAGATTTTAATATTTCATATTCTTCACATTTTAAGCTTTGAAATGATGGGTCATTTACTGGAATCGATGTACTATTGCTAAAGTTGAAGGTAACAGTGTTTATGGCTTCTCTGTAGTAAAGTATACAATATTGCCACATTCTTATGATAATTTAGTGAGAGTGCTGTACGCTGGTTTTTGCATGGCAAGCCCTATATGTCTGTTACTGTATTAAGTATCTCTGTATGACATGTGTATTCAGAATTGCTAATACTAAAAAGCTATCACAATATTTATTTTATTTGGTGCTTGATGGAATACATAGATTTTTAATTGCAATACCATTTTGGTTCAAGAACTTGCCCAGTGTAATTTTTTTTAAGCTGTAGGTTGTAACAGCTTACCTTCATCCATGTTGTACAATTTTCAGGATGGAACTCTAAAAATTTTTCATACAATGTCCGACAGCGATCAAACTCACGCAGTTGCAATTCCAGCTCAATGTAGCCCTTGAATATCTTGTCCTTTGGGCACCTGCCAAGGGAAAACCCCTGGATAAATAAGAAATACAGTTTAAATTAAAACATAATAAAATTTACAAATGTTAATAAATAGTATGAAGAAGTTATTTAACAAATTTTCAAATATTAGTAGAATTAAATGTTGAAAGTATCTTCATCTGGTTTAGAAAAAATTGTATTATGATTTAATAGGAGTTGAAACGTTGCAAGTAACTACGCTTATGTTCATACTATGGTTTAGAACAAAAGTTGAAGTCATATTCATAGAGCTGTTTTGATCGTTAACAAACGAAACAATGAATGTTAACTTACTGCGAGCTTTCAACATGACTTTATCAGGCTAGCATCAGTTGTTTTGGCATAGCCTGAGGAAGTTATGTTGATAACATCGCCGAAAGCTCACAGTAAGTTAACATCCATTTTGTTTGGTTTATTAACGATCAAAACAGTTCTACAATAATTTTAAGCAAACCAGACGAAACTATTCGAACATATTCATAGAATTAAATACAAAGAAATTCCACATTAGGGCTATAATAGTATGCCATCACGCAGTACTTACTAAAGCCTTTCTAGCTGCTTGCAGGTCCTTCTGTCGTACTTCAAACTGAGCATACAGAAGCCAAATCTTAGCAAACGTGAACTCCTTGTGCGGGATCAAATCCAGACAAGCTTTGTACACTTGCCTAGTTCGTTCCATATCCTGAGAAAAAGAAGAAATAAGTTATTACAGTACTACATTACACTGTAACTTATCTAAACTGTTAAAACAACATCAGAGCTCATTCGGCTAAATTGGCAGTAGCCACTGCGCGTTAACTGAACCAAGGAAATGCATTGTAAGCCTTTGGGACCCGGTTTATTCCCATCCGCTGATCACCTTGACTTTCTGCTGGATGGCTAAAATGCAAGTATAAAAAAAGCACACTGTGTTTAGTTTAAGATGTATGCAATATGGCCCATGTGCCATGTGAAGATCACATACAGTACATACCTTAGCTTCTAGTTCTTCGTACAATGCATAGTTGATCCATAAGTAAATATAACGCCTCCACATTCTCTTGTCTGGAGTAGGGGGGACATTAGCAATAGCTCTCTCATATACATCACGTATTACTTCTTCATTGTTATCCGATTCTACAAGTCTTAGGTAATCAAACCACGCATCATAATTACTTGGATTTGCTTTCACTTCCTGAAAAAAAAAAAGACAAGCATAAAATCAGAAAGGTAGTCAAAACCAGAGCTTAGCATTTACAAGCAGAAGTGCCCATTTACCTGTCCCCTTGGAATTTGTGTCTGACTATGCAATGCCGTGGGGTGGGGAATTCCAACCTCTCTCGCACGATTCTGATGATAAGCATGTTGCCTATGTATAATCCCGAAAAGAAAAAGCGTCTTTTGCCCAAAGGCATAAGCCAAATGCTTTGAGCCCCAACTGCAATCTTGCCAGTCTGATCTACATTCACTACACCAATCTCTCCCACAATAGAAGGCATGATAAATGTTTAGTAACACACTAATATAATTTATATCATTAATGTTAGGTACCAGAATACCAAACCAACCCCCCCCCCCCCTCCCACTTTCTCACTCATCACTGGCATTGCCAATACTCCTACCTCTATTGTTACCTCACCTCTTCATACTGGAATTTCCTCTTGCTGACAATAACATCTTCAATTCCTTCCCTGTCTCCATATTTCTTTTCCAAAATGGTGTAGTTTTTGAACAAATTCTGAGCATGTTCCTTGGGAATATGTTCAAGTGCATATTTGTAAATAACTCGGGAACGCTCAAACTGTAATAAAAATTGCATTAATAATAAAATTTATACTAACAATAATCAAATCTTGCACTAGAGTTTTTAGTACCTTATACATACGTAATAAATATTTGAGAAAAACATGTCGCCGTCGGGATTTAAACCCAAGACCTTCCGATTACTCACTTTGGCATGATTCTATGCACGTCGCCCAGTTCAGATTGCCACTAACAATCAGCAGACAATGTCGCATCAGTGAGTGGCCAGCTTAAACTATGATGCTAAATGCACCCTTGGATTTTCCCATTAGGACACGTTTTTTTTCTCAAGCGACTGTATAACTTACAATGAATAGTAGTAAATCACATGATGAAACTTTAATATGGAGAACATATCACAGTTACATAAAAGTATTTAAGAAAACAAATATGCCTAAAACAAATTTGTAATACAAAGCAAAGACTTTTTTTTCTACAAGGTTTTCTCATCGCCAATCTTTTTATACCTCCTTTTGTCTTTCTTCGAACTTAGCAAATGATACAAACAGGTCCTCCTCCATGTTGTCCTCCCCAAAGAATTCAATCGATCGTTCATATACAGAGCGGGAATTGCCAGGGAAGCTATGATGCTCCTCAAAATTGGCATACTTCATCCAGTTTTTAATGGTTGGATGCACAATAATCAGTAAAAGTCGCAGTTAAGGAATCATACCTTAATATAAATAAAATCTCAAATTGATGGAAAAATTGTTAAGTTGTTTTCAATTATTTAGACATTTACGGAAAGCCTTGAACTTGCTGCCAGAATTTAAGGATTATACGCAAAGCCTATAGGATTTTTAAATTTATCCATTGATTAAGAATCAACCAGTTTTTCAAACATTTTGAGAAATGTATAAAACATACTCTTTTCTGTGACCCCTTCCTGCACCCACACCACTACCCAAAAAGTACATAATTAAGCAATGATTTTTGTAAGTTTGATTGAGATAACCATTTTATTTTTTGTAATAAGTGAGTACATAGTCTCCCCCAACCCCTTAAAGCATATGTTCTGTATGGATAATCCCTTACTTTCTGGTGAGGAAAATATTTTTTTTCTAATTTTTAATTAAATAATTTAACTTTTGTTTCTATTTTGAAGTATATATTTGATTTATTTGGCAATATTTTAAATAATCTAATTCATAGGAGGTCCAACTTTTACAATAAACATGTTTCATGTTGTTTCTGGAAAAGATATGTTCCCTTACCCTCCACCCCCCCCACCTCAATTCCCAACCTACCCCTTGACCAACCTACCATACCAAAATAGCATGTAATAATTGATCAGCTGTGGTTCCAAAAATAGTATGCTATTACACAACATTAAAGGATATGTCGTTCATAAATAGCTCGCACTCGATCAAACTCTTTATATCGAAGCTCAAACTTGATGTATGTAAACCAAGGTTGCTCTTCTGGTTCCCATTCCATCCACCTCTCAAAGACTTGACGTGCTCCTGCAACATTTCCCAACATCTCCTCCATGTACGTGTATTTATACCAGAACTGATTTGCACGTGGCAGGATTGTTATTGCTCTATCCCAGATATTACGTGCATGGTTTACTTGTCGATTCCTGATGTACAAAAAAAAACCTTAAGAAATACTATCTGATGTCTGTAAATTCAATTTCCTTATTTTAATTTTCTGCACATCATTTGTGTTGCTTCCTTATTGGTAGGAGGGCTGATGGGGATGTGATGAGAAAGTGATAGAATGCTAGCTGGAGAAAATAAGGTGATATGATTCCATATTGAACTACATGAATGTATTTTTTTTTTCTCAATAAAATGTCAATGGAATATGTGGGTCATCTGGATGGTGGGTCATTTGGATTTGTGCCCCATGCTCTCTTAATCTTTAATACACCACTAACAAGAATATCATTCTTTTTCTAAGGATATGGGTTAATATTGAATTCCATAGGAATTGTTAATTAGATTTAAAAAATGCACTTACTTCATTTCCATTTCAGCATACTTGAGCCATATGCCAACATTTCGGTGGTCAACATCCAATGCACGTTCATACACAGATCTTGCCCTGTCATCATAAGCAAAACAAAAAAGTTTATATACAAAAATCAATCCCTTGTTGCATGTGGCACAGCAAATGTATTAGATTTCTGATTGAGAAATCAGGAGTTTGAGACCGACATTTGTTGCGTTACTTGTTTCCTTGAGTATAAATTGGTACCTGGTAGGATGGTGTGGCATTGAGTAGTGCGTGTAAAACAGCACGACTATGGATATTCCACAGGGAGCAAAGAAAGTTGCGCAAAATATGCCAGTTTGCCAACTGTGTATCCAGTAACCAGGAAAATGATTATGCCAGCACCAGGGGCACTTATTATCTTTTCCAGACCATTCCATCATCATTTGCAAACCCCTACTCTTTTCTATGTACCATCTATAAAAAAAAAAACCAGAATTTTACCTATCAATTTCTTTCTGACTTTCTTCCCATTGTGCATACTTGATCCAATTTCCCATCACAGTACGATTCTTCCGTAAGTTGTCTTCAAATTCTTTTCGTTTTCTTAATCGGAAATCTTGCAGCTCATCTGGATCTGTAATCTTCTGTCGTGGTGGCTATATAACAAAATGTACTGGCCGTTAATATTTAGGCTAGTTAAACTGGTGCAACACCCTAGTTCCTACCGTAGGTCCTCAGGTATACACCCACCCCCTTGAACTAATAATTGGGCCGATTTTACGGGTGGTGTTATACCTGGGGAATCCCCTTTTCAATAAAAAGGCAAATTTTCAGCACTGCATGCCTAAGTCAAAGCCAATATTTGATTTTTTTTAAAGAATAGCTTAAGCTACTTATTTAAATCATACCTTGGCATTTTGTCCGAGGAAACTCTAGTACGTAAAATTGGGTATAGTGTTGGGAAGGGGGGGAGGGAGGTGAGCTTATTTACCATTAAAAATTAATATATTGCACAAAATAAACATATTCAGGTCTACTGCCATTAGACTGTGACAGAAAACCAAGCTGTCCCGATGATAAATGATGTATTCTTATCCTAATCCTAATAGATACTTACTGGAGGCTGGTGCTCAAGTTCCCTCTCTTTCGCTTCTCTTAAAATTTGTTCTGCTGTGATTTGCATCTCGGCAGGCATTTTGTTTTTAACCTGCAAAATAGAATGGTTGTAAATTTTAAATAAAAAATCATTGACAAATTAAAATAGGCCTACTTCAGTTTGGCAATGATTGATTTATAATACAGGCACAGTCATGGTTAGGTCTCATTCATACACTTGTTTTTAACATGGATAAAATAGGTCTCCTACCACCCACCAGTAAATAAATAAGCCCGGGCCGGAATAAAAAGTCAAGCGAAAAAATAGAAGTTTCAGAAATCAGAATCATGAAGATTGAAATCAACATATTTATAAATTCAAAAAATCATAGCGATGTATGCTCATTTATAGCAACGTCTTAAAACTAAAAGTAAGCCACACCAAATGGCATAGCCTAGCAAAATAATGGGTAGGCCTAGGCCTACAATACATTTCATCATCATGACAAATGACATCAGCAAGCTTCGCCTGGACTAGGCCTAGGTCTGCTTAGGCCGACGCATAGAATAGGCACTCCACTGACTGCTGTTCTAGGCCTAGGTACACACATGCCTTAGTTTTAAATATTATGACTAGCTAATAGTACAAATAATTTACTTACCTTTGCCACTTTTGGCACTTTACTCTTCGCTCCTGTGGAGGCCATGTTGACAGCTTTGTAACCTAAAAAGATAGATAAAGGACAACGTTCTATCTACGAAGCAGGAACACTCTGCTCCTGAGTTTTTGTTTGGCTAAAGAGACTGGAGCTACGATAGGACAAGATTCGTTTCGCATGGACTAAAACGCGTCAGCGCTAAATTTAAGTATCAACAAGCAAGGGAAGACAGAGAGGGGACGGGGGCTGGGGTGGGAATTGTGCCCGGAAAAAAAAAGCAGTGAGCGAGAAACCCACACACCCTCTTCACACTTGTTTAAAGATGAGGTAAGCAAAATCTCCTCCCATTACAAAGAAAATATTTCCTCCCATCAAACATACCAACAAAATTATTATTGTAACTTAAAATGATCAATCATTTCGCTGCAAAAATGAGCAACTTCACCCGTGGAGCAATATTTAAAACAATGGCAATGAAAACACTGAAAACAACGTACGCAAGTATTTTAAAGAACAGAATAATAGACAACAATGTAATAATAGAGGTTTAGTAAAATGACATTCAGTGAAAACAAATACTTATCAAGACATATCTTTCTATTTCTATTGATCGATCTTTTGAAAGAATCAACAAAGTTAAAAACTTTCATTATTTTACAGAACAAACATCAGTTTTCAAATAATTTGCAGACGTTTACCTACAAAAAATAATTGGTGGCAAAATTCAGTTGTAACAATTTACACGATCTGGTACTAGGCCTAGGCGCACGGTCTAGGCCTTAATAAAGTTGCTAAAAGTTTCATTCAATAAAGTTTCTTAAATCTCTATTTTTTTTCTACTGAATTAGCACGGAAGAATAAATTTGTTCGCTGTGGCTGGAGGTCCCGGATCCGTTATTTTCAGGTCTTAAAGATCCGGTACCGGTAACCGCGCCGACAATGACAATGTTGTTGTAGTGTATATTTATTATTTAACACAATTATTTATATATAATTCATTATTTAACATATAATTGAATGGATTACTCATTATTTATATATAATGCATTTACATCTAAAAGATTATATGTAAATAATTGCGTTAACGTTTCATTATTTATATATATAATTAGTTTACTGATTTCATTATATATAAATAATGAAAGGGTAATCAAACATTATTTATATATAATGAGGTTACTGGTTTCATTATACATAAATAAGGAAAGGGTAACACATCATTATATATAAATAATGAAAAGAAACTTTCAATTAATTATTTGTATAATAAGTTTACTGATTCCATTATATATAAATAATGAAATCATTATTTATAAATAATAAAAAGTAACTTACAGTTATTTATATATAATAAGTTCACTGATTTCATTATATATAAATAACGAAATGACTTCAAACTCATTATATATATAAATAACTTCTTCTACATTTCATTATATATACATAGTAGCTGTCGCAAAACCACTGTATGTATATAGGTCGAGTTCCTAGTCCACATTTCAAGCGCCCTGAGCATCTTACATTAGATGGATATGTGCTCTATATAAAACTACATTATTATTATTATTATTATTATTATTATTATTATTATTGTTATTATTATTATTATTATTATATAATGCTTAGACTTCAAACTCATTATGTACCGTATATAATGCACACGTGTTATTATGAGGCGCCAAGTGTAAATTTATTATTTAACACAATTATTTATACGGTATATAATTCATTATTTAACATATAATTGAATAGATCACGCATTATTTATATATAATGCATCTACGTCTGAAAGATTATATGTAAATAATTGCGTTAACGTTTAATTATTTATATATAATTAGTTTATTGATTACCGGTACATTATATATAAATAATGAAAGGCTAACCAAACATTATAATAAGGTTACTGGTCTCATTATATATAAATAAGGAAGGGGTATTACATCATGGTATATAAATAATGAAAAATAACTTACAATTATTTATATATAATAAGTTCACTGATTCTATTATATATAAATAATAAAAAGGTAACAAATCATTATATATAAATAATGAAAAGTATTATTCATATATAATAAGTTCAATGATTTCATTATATATAAATAACGAATTGACTACAAACTCATTATTTATAAATAACTGTTTTTACATTTCATTATATATACAGTAAATAATAGCTGTCGCAAAACGCACAAGCACATGTGTTATCGTGTCAAGGTCATTATATCTAAATAATGGTTTCTACTTCCAATTATATATAAATAACCGTTGAGGTCGAGTGCCATTATATATAAATAATGACATTGTTGGAAGCTATGGTTTATAAATAATTCGTTATGCAAATTACGAAGTAATAAATATTCACATGTGCTCTAAAGTTACAATTAGAGCCTATTCACCTATCGAAAATAGCACAGCAAGGGATACAGCAGATTATTGAATCCAGTGGTGGCGCCGGAGGCCCCCACCTCCACCTCCATCGGGGAAGACGAGTAAATTTTGTCAGGGAATAAACAAATTTAAAAAATGTTTACATGTAATGTTCGTTACCACCATATTTTTTTTCATTGAACTATAGAGTTAAGTTTTCATCACAATAATAATAATATTAATAATAATAATAATAGTTCAATGAGACTAATTAAAAATAATTTGCGTTCTGTTATGACAAATGCTCGTTTGGATAGCCTCATGATGCTTGGAATACATCGCGATAGGGGAAACAACCTCGACCTTGAAATCGTGATTGACATATTTCGTGCAAAATTTCAGTATTCTTCCCCCACATCAGCCCCGCATTTTAGTTAAGACATCTAGATACGCCACTGACTTTCGGGTTTCTGGGTTGATTTGCAAGGTACTACTGGGCTCAACTACTTTTTACTTAGGGGTTAATTGGTAAAAATCGCACACAAATCATATGATGTCACTGACAACGCCAGGGACGGCAACGATTTTGAGATAAATTTTCAGAATAAAGTTATACTAAATAACTTCTAATGACAAACTATTGTCTTCAGCAGTGTCTTTGTTGTTCATTCAACTGTCATTTTATCTATTTTTTGGGTGATATTACCATTCTCAATAATCTATAAAACACCCACATAACAGCGTCACGTCGATCGGTGGGGACGCCGTGGTGACGCTGCTAGAGTTAATTTTCGTCGGAAGGTATTAAGATGATATACAGTTTCATTGGAATAAATTCTTGCTTATGTTAACCACATGCTTACCTAAGATTATACTGACACTGGTTTCAAATCACGGTCAAGTAGTTAAAAATCACCTAAAATCACATTATTTTGCGAATTAGCACCCCTCAACTGATCATCGAGCCCCCATTTCACCTTCGCGCCCCAATTATCCCCCCTCCCATTTCAAGACATCTAGATACGCCACTGACTTACATGGCCAGATGAATGAAAATACTCAATCAATGTACTACCAAATCGTAATCAGCCTTCACTATGCCCTCGCGATGTCCCCGGGGACGCAACTGCCAAAAAAACTATTTTTGGCAGCGAAGGGACGCTACCAATAAACAATCAACGAACTACCGAGTTTCTGGGTTGATTTGCAAGGTATTACATTGCTCAACTTTTTTTTTACTTTGGGGTTAATTGGAAAAAATGGCAGACAAATCATACGACGTCACTGACAACGCCGGGGACGGCAACTCAATTTTGAGATTAATTTTCAGAATAAAGTTATACTAAATAACTTCTAATGACGAACTATTGTATTCAGTTGTCTTTGTTGCTCATTCAACTGTCATTTTATCTATTTTTTGGGTGATATTACCATTCTCAATAATCTATAAAACACCCACATAACAACGTCACATTAGATCGATCGGTGGGGACGCCGTGGTGACTCTGGTAGGGTCAATTTTCGTCGGAAGGTATCAAGGTGATAAACAGTTTCATTGGACTGAATTCTTGCTTATGTTAACCACATGACTTACCTAAGATTATACTGACACTGGTTTCAAATCACGGTCAAATACGGCAGTTAAAAATCACCTAAAATCACCTTATTTTGCGAATTAGCGCCCCTCAACTGATCATCGAGCCCACCACTTCACCTTCGGCCCGGTGGGGTGGGGGAGCTCCGGCGCCACCACTGGATTCAATAATCTGATGTATCCCTTGCTGTGCTATTTTCGATAGGTGAATAGGCCCTAATTTTAGCTTTAGAGCACTGGTGAATATTTATTACTTCGTAATTTGCATATATAATGGCACTCGACCTCAACGGTTATTTATATATAATTGGAAGTAAAATTCACTATTTTGATATAATGATCTTGACACGATAACACGTGAATTACATAATGAGTTTGAAGTCCAAGCATTATATATTATGAAATGTAAAAGCAGGTATTTATATATAATGAGTTTGAAGTCAATTCGTTATTTATATATAATGAAATCAGTGGACTTGTATATAAATAATTGTAAGTTACTTTTCATTATTTATATACAGTATAATGAGTTGTTTATTTTTCATTATTTATATATAATGAAATCAGTGAACTTATTATATATAAATAATTGTAAGTACTTTTCATTATTTACCGTATAAATTATAATGATGTGTTACCCTTTCCTTTTTTATATATAATGAGACCAGTAACCTTATTATATATAAATAATGTTTGGTTACACTTTCATTATTTATATATAATGAAATCAATAAACTAATTACCGTATATATAAATAATGAAAACGTTAACGCAATTATATACATATAATCTTTTAGACGTAAACGCATTATATATAAATAATATAAATAATGTGTGATCTATTCAATATGTTAAATAATGAATTGTATATATTAAATAATAAATTTACATTTGGCGCCTCATAACAAATGGCGATTTCAAAGACATTAACAACAATAAGTACAGTACCGTATGTTTAAGTTTTGTTATAGAACACCCAAGTTGGTCGATTTTCAGAGGTGGTTTTCTCAGTTTAAAAGTTGGCATAGACCTATATAGGCTGCAGCTGCTACTTTAAAACTCTCTTCGTATTTCCCCCAAATAGGACATGCCAAGTAGCCTATTAAATACTACATACTGGATATGCAATTAAAGTATCACATGATGATTAAAGTTTCACATGATAATTAAAACACCTTATAGTTATACA